GCTACTCAGGAGGCTGAGGCAGGAGAATTGCCTGAACCCAGGAGGCGGAGGTTGCGGTGAGCCGAGATCGCGCCATTGCACTCCAGCCTGAGTAACAAGAGTGAGACTCCGTCTCAAAAAAAAAAAAAAAAAAATTACACATGATCTAACTAGTATGTGGTACTCTGGATTCAGTTTTGGACAGAAAAAGGAAATTAGTAGAGAAACTTGTGAAATCCAAATAAAGTCTATAGTTTAGTCATAGTATTGTACAAATGTTAATTTCTTATATGTGATAGCATGTGCCATGGTTATTATGCAAAAAGTTTAACATTAGGAGAGGCTGGTTGAAAGGTATACCGGAATACGCTGCACTATCTTTGCAACTTTTCTATAAATTTAAAATTCTTCCATAATCAAAAATAATTTTAATTACATATGGTGTTCTACTTTACATTCTTATTCCCCCTTAGGATTCTAATCGTGTCTCCCTAATCATTGCCCTGATTCAGGTAATGCTGACCTAAAACTTTTTAAAAATATTTTTTAACCTCTAAATATGAACTGTTTGCACAGCTCATCTGGGGTTTCTTCTTTACCAAGACATGAAAACTAGATCACACTTGGGAGGTTTTAACTGTTTTCTGTTCCTAATAGATTTACCAGATATACCAGGGGGTACCTTGAATTTGAACTTCCCAAAGGGGACAAGACAGCGGTTAAAATAACATGCTCTGGATCTCTGGATAAAAGCAAGGGGACACTACATAAAATATGTTATATATTAATAGACTACCTTTATCTAATCTCTGGCCAAAAAGTACAATACGTAGAAAATCAATTAACAGATGGTAACTATTAGCATCTCAACAGTAACAAGCTGCACTGAAATAAATGCCCTTGCTCTGAAAAACACGATGCAAATTGCTCAACTATTCAAGGTAACAAAAACTCATAAAATCATACAGAACTGATCAATTGAGACTAAATGAGGAAACATGTATCTACCATAACTATTTAGTTTCTAATAACTAAATGCATACCCACCATTCTCTATAAACCCTATCCTGTAGAACAGTCTTCAAAAGTGCCACCAGTATGACATCATAACACGGGCCCAGGCACGCATGTGTGTATACACACATATATACACACAAACTGCAATAAGGTTAAACAACCTCAGAAGTTTGAAAACTACTATATGAAAGAACATTAGTGAAGGCTAAGCATTCAAAACCCTTCAAATAAAAAGAAACAAAAATAATAATACTAATAAATAATAACTGAAATTTAAACCCAAACTAGCTAACAACTAAAGTCATTTAAAAAGTAAAATGGTCAGGCACAGTGGCTCATGCCTCTTGCCCCAGGTACTCAGGAAGCTGAGGTGGGCTTGAGGCCAGGAGTTCAAGACTAACCCGGGCAATGTAGCAAGACCTAATAAATAATAAATAAAAGGTAAACTGATACACTAGAGTCCATTAAGGTCATAAAATCTGATCTGTTACATGGTACCAATATGTTGATAGTATTAAATATGACACAACAGTACTCTCACCTGGACCACTTCCAGAAAGATGAACAGGTAGAGTAATTCCTCTAAAATATTTCAACTCCCACACCTCTATTCAACCACTTATCATAATGTATCTGTTCACAAGTGGTCACATTACCCAGGAAAGAATGGGCTCTCAATACGTGCTTTCTGAATGAATGAGCATGTGGCAGTAATCTATCTCTGAGGTATTCTTACAAACCAATTCAATATCGAGACCTCAGAAGCAGAACATGCTGTATGCCATGCTACCACATTTAGGAGGCAGGCAAGTTCACTGAAAAATAATTAACAGCAACTAATGTTTGTTGGGGGGAAAAAGTCAGATCATGTAAGTCAGAAAAATAAATATAAAAACTACAACTTGAAAATGGACAATAAAGTGAACTACTTACAACTTTCTAACATTGAAATACAAGATGTTCTTTAAGGAGTCTTTCGTTACCCAGAATAATTTTACAAAGAAATTTGTTACCAACTTAAATTAGTAAGTTAGACCAATTAGTGAATGGAATGAAGTCCAAGCCCAATTATGTGTTCAAACTGTGTGTCCGATGCCTTGGGCGATTTTTTTCCCTTCAAGACTGCAGAAAAATGCAAAACAACCCTCTTGATTGCTGAGAAGGACTAAAATCATTTCTTTTCCTCACAAGTATGTGCCCAAAAGCAATTACTTTCTGCTCCCATCCATCACAAATCACCACCACCTCCCGCTTCCCATCCCCATCAAAGAATGCTATAGAGTATCTGACCACTTTCATTTCAGGCTATAAGAACCTCAGATTACAATAAAATTACAATGCAACAAAAACAAATTTTTCTAAGTATGTTCGCGTCCCCCATGGTGTTCCTACACTAATTTAGCTCCCTAGTATTAACAATCAAGGAAATCAGAACACTCTCAATAGAGGTTACAATAGAAATTATGAATGGTCCTTTTTTAAAGTTGTTACTGTTCATGGATTCCAAAATTCAAAGTACACATTACCAGGAGAGTGCTTTTCTGTCAGTGCCTAAATTTAAATGCAAATTACTACTTAATGATATGCAATTTTCCCTCTGAACCTATATATAACACTAATCAGTCAAATGTTTAAGAAGAATTACTGGCAGTTATTTAATAACAGTTTATTAAAAAAATAAACTGTCATTTTAGGTTTTAGACAATAAAAAGCTTATTGTCTAATCACCAAGATACATCAAAAAAAAAAAAATGGGGGCTATTAGCTCTACACATGATTGACAGCTTGATAGAGAAAAGCTGCTCCAGAAAGATTAGGAACTTCTAGCAACCACAAATGGGGTAAGGCAGAAGGCACGTACAGTATCTGTAGCTACTTCAATAAGAGAACTACTTCAACATCAAAAATTCAGAACCCAAAAATATGTAAACTATCAAGCGCTCATATAAATGAATGTGTGCCTAAAAGAGAAAGGAGAAGCAGAAAAACAGTTTACACCCAAATCAACAGAAGAAATCGCCCTGTGATTGAGTGTCCCAGGACCTGAAAACTTAATAAGGTTTTTGAGATTTACGAACACATTCAAGTTCCAGTGCAACTATGTTAAAATAAAATTGGAGTGGGGCACAGTGGGTCACATCTGTAATCCCAGCACTTTGGGAGGCCGAGGCAGGAGGATCACCTGAGGTCAGGAGTTTGAAACCAGCCTGGCTAACACGGTCAAACCCCATCTCTACTAAAAATACAAAAATTAGCCGGGTGTGGTGGCACACGTCTGCAGTCCCAGCTACTCGGGACACTGAGGCAGGAGAATTGCTTGAACCTGGGAGGCAGAGGCTGCTGTGAGCCAAGATTGCACCACTGCACTCCAACCTGGGCAGCAGAGCGAGACTCCGTCTCAAAAATAAAATAAAATTGGCATAAAATTCCAACCCTGCCATGCAGCCTCAAGTTGCAAGACACACAATAATAACAATAGAAAACACTCTGTGGGTAGTCTGGTTTACACTCTTCTAGGGAGTTCACATTAACTACAATAAATAATATAAATCCTGCTAACATCCCAGTAAAACAATGCTATTATGATTATCTCCATTTTACAGATAATGCAACTGAGACACAGATAGATTAACTCGCCCAATGTCATGGCGAGTTATGAGCAGGGATTTTAACCCCAGCAGTCAGACTCTCCAAAGTTCGTGTTAACCAATACACTGTGTTTCACTATAAGAATTATACAATGGTCATCCGTTTTTATTTTTTTAAACCTGATAACATTTTTGACTTCCAACACTAGTATAGCATCATGCAATAAGAAAAGTATGACAGAGGTACCCCCCATTCCGTTCCCAGCTTGCTGTTGCTCAGTAGCTAGCAAATGGAAGACACAGTGTTAAAAAAAAAAAAGAAAAAGAAAGAAACGTACAGACTTTAGAATCAAAAGACTCAAACAGACCCCTGAAAAAAGTCTGAGGTTCAGTTTCCCCATATGTAATATGAGTATTTACGTTATTGAGAAGGTCAAAGAAGGTAATATAAAGCACCAAGTGCAGTATACAGGATGAGGGTTTTAAAGTTTACAGACATCGAGAGGGTCCACGGATAGGCTTCAGGGTCGGACAATCTCAAAGTGTATTACAAACTGTATGTGTGCCCGCTTTTTAAATAATTGTTCCTGGCTTTCCACAAACTTCCAATAAATAAGTTATCTCCAAAAGGTTAAGAACCATTGGAATACATAGTATTTACTCAAAAAAGCTACCTTTCCCTCCTTGTTCTCACAAATTCTCCCTTTTACTTTAAGGATGACACACCAAGGCATCACAATAAATGTCAATTGTTTCTCACCACTTTCCTGGCTTGGGTAAGTAGTAACATGTGCAATCTTATGCCCCAATTCTCTAGCGACAGTCTAAAGAAGGCCCTCCAACACTGCTTCATTTCTCTCTTCACCGAGACGAATACACGGTATATACTCGGGGAGAATCATCCACCTAGGTGCACAAAGCACATGTCGGCTTGGAAAACCAAGTAGGAACCACAGCCTCAGGGTTGGACCGTAGAGACTGGGTGCCCCAACGCTGGAGGGTGAGGAGAATGTGTTCCCCCAAACTACTGGGAAAACCAGGGTTCTGACCCTCCTACACTTGTCCTCCTCCTCTCTCTCTGGAACTCTGGTGCAGGCAGGTCTTCTGGGCTCTGGCTAGGGCTGGAGAGAAACGTTACCCGAGCCGGGGGTTGCAGCGCGACGAAGTTCCAGCTCTGCTGTCCTAGGAGGCGGCGGCAGCACTCAGCAGAAGACAGGCTCTCCACCCTCCAACTGAGAGACCCCAAAGTTGGTCTCTACCCGGCCTGGGAACCGGCCCGGGGTTTTTCCGTTTCCCCAAGAAGCTTCCGCTTCCGGGTTATCATTTGCCGGAAGCAGTATGTGAATGACGTAAAAGTATTGCGCCGTTGGTGATTACGGAAGAAGCAGAAGTGTGGCGTGACCATGGTGAGAGAAGAGGGTCTAAGAAGGGATGTTATCAGGCCGCTTTTTGGATAGAGAAGGGAGTCAGACCGTGGCCAGATTTCCTCCACATTGTCCTTGCATATTTTCATTCTGGTTTTAGCTCTTAAACTTCTCCTAGCAGTGCCTGTATTGCTTTACTGAGTGGGGAAGAGGGTCTCGTTATTTGAGGCAAATAGGGAAGGGAATGGACAACAGAAGAGACTTTAAAAGATGCCGTAGGTTTGCAACTTTTTTAATTCCAAAATTTCTGTTTCAAGGGGAAGCAAAAGAAAACAAGGAAGTATGCGACCATGAAGCGAATGCTTAGTCTCAGAGATCAGAGGCTGTGAGTGTCTGGAATCAACTCCCCAGGGATATTCTAATAAGAGTCTATAGAGAGGATAAGTAGTAAAAATTTTTGTTGTTATTACTTTTTTACTTCTAATATTATTGTATATTAGATTTATATAGCATGAGATAACCAGTGTTTAATAGTAATTTAGCTGCTGAGTGATTACACTGGGAAAAGCGATAGGAATTAAACATTCTCTTAAGTGTTGACTTTTTCTACCATTATATGCTTTGTCTACCGAATCCTATTTAAACCTCATGTCAGTTCTGTGAAGTCCCTATAATTCTTTTATGTTCTTACCATTACACTACTACATTCCCCTGGGGTGGGGCGGGGGGAGTGTTTCTTGTTGTTGAAAGATGGCAAGGGTAGAGACCACGTTTGTCTTGTCTCCAGTGTCTGGTACTCAAATATTTTTGTCAGAGAAAATGGGGAAACTCCAAGATGTCTGCATTTTATAAGTCTTAGTAATACAAGAATCCAAACCACTGTGGAAGAAAGTGGAGAGATATTCCCTAGTATAAAGAGGATCAAAGCAGTGTCCATGCTTAAGTGTAGAATAAGCATAGCTATTAAATGATGACTGATCTTCTTTGAGTTTTAAGAGTCTCAGAAAGCCAAGCACAGTGGCTAGTGCCTGTAATCTCAGCCCTTTGGGAGGCTGAGGCGGGTGGATCACCTGAGGTCAGCAGTTCGACAGCAGCCTGGCCAACATGGTGAAACCCCTTTCCACTAAAAATACAAAAATTACCCAGGCGTGGTAGCGGGTGCCTGTAATCCCAGCTACTCAGGAGGCTGAGGCAAGAGAATCACTTGAACCCAGGAGGCGGAGGTTGCAGGGAGCCATCGTGCCACTGCACTCCAGCCTGGGAGACAGAGGGAAAAAAAAGAGTCTCAGAACAAAAGAATGGTCATTAAAGCCTTCAGAATTAATTCTTCTCAGGCTTTAGTATGGATGTATTGTGTAATTTTTAGGAATGACACCCATTAATAATATTTTCTTTCTACTTAAGGGCTAAGTTCTACATATGTGTTTTTACATTTTAGCCCTTTATAAGAAGCATATGGGGTAATATTTTCCCCCTACTGTTAAAGCATCTGGATCTTCAGAAGATAACTGTCACCCTATTTACCCACTGCTTGGAAGTGGATTTTGATCCTTGATATGAGAGATTCTGACTAAGAAAGAAATATGGTATAATCAGCTTTCATTTGCTCATTAACAGTTTTTATGCTTTATTGGCATTACTGATTAATTCTGACACTTCGAGGTACTGTACTTTCCACTAGAGTTATTTGCTCAGAAAGAGTATGCTAATATTAACATGAAGTCACAAAGTAGGATTTCTAATGTAGACCAAAAAAAAAATGGAACTTTAGATTTTTGAGATTTTAACTGCTGTTTTTTCTTCTCCCTTGAATTTAATTTACTTTTTTTTTCTAGAAAAGAAAAGGATAGATTAAAACCTAAAAAGAAAGAAAAGAAGGATCCCAGCACGTTAAAGGAAAGAGAAGTGTGAGTAATCAAACATTTGAAGTTTTCCTTTAAAACCATAGACCTCTTAGAAATCCAGGCTTTCGGCCGGGCACAGTGGCTCATGCCTGTAATCCCAATACTTCGGGAGGCCAAGGCAGGTGGATCACGATGTCAGGAGATTGAGACCATCCTGGCCAATGTGGTGAAACCCCTGGCCTGGCTAATTTTTTCTATTTTTAGTAGAGACTATTTTTAGTCTACTAGTCCTGAGTAGTCCCAGCTACTCAGGAGGCTGAGGCAGGGGAATCACTTGAACCCGGGAGGCGGAAATTGCAGTGAGCCAAGATCATGCCACTACACTCCAGCCTGGTGACAGAGCAAGACTCTGTCTCAAAAGAAAAAAAAAGAAATCCATGCTTTCCCTGAGCTGGTTTGCTAAGTCATTTGTTAGTAAGTCTAGCACAACTATGTAAATTAAAGTGATACCAATGAGCATATATCAATTCCAGTGGTTTGAAGGTTTTGGGATTTCATGGAGCAGTAAAATTTCTCCTGAAATCCTGGAAATATATCTAGGATTATTAACTTTTTATTTGCCAGGGATCTTTTAAGAGTCATAATTGTCATTTAACCCACCAACATTTCATAAAAGAGAGACTGTGTCACCAAAAAATATTTAAAATATATTGTCAGAATAAAGATCATTCGTTTTAAGTAAATGCATTTAACTTTATGAAAACTTTGCCACATTTTCCTTGTTTTTCTAATTTTGCCCAGGACTGGTAATGGATATATCATCACAGGTAGTTACTGGTCCATGTATCCTAGCATTTGGAATCACTATCATGTTCAAACCAGACAACTTGGGCTAGATGTGATACAGGTATACAGGTCCTGCTGTAGTATATAATCCTAACCCTAGACAAACTTTTCTCTATCACATTCCATAACAACACTTTTAGAATCCTATAAGAATGACAAACGTTGTAGTATCATTCTAGTCATGGCAAATGAGTTTATAGTAAACAGTCCCAAGCTGAGACTTCTTTTTTGCTTTTGTTAATGCTAAGGTATCAATGTGAATTTTACTTTGTTCTTGTTTTCTTTTTTCTTCAGTCCCCAACATCCTTCCTGCTTATTTTTCCAATATAATACACAGTTGGGCCCACCTTACCACATCCTTGTTGATACCAACTTTATCAACTTTTCCATAAAAGCCAAACTGGACTTGGTGCAGTCAATGATGGACTGTCTGTATGCCAAGTGTGAGTATCATACTTTTATGTTTCTGTGACGTTTGTACAGAATAGTCATATTTATACAAATACTTGAAAACAGGGAGATGGGGTTCTTGTTAGCTGAATTGCTGGCCATTTACTTTACAGTGGTCACCATGGCAATCACCATGTTTAATAAACTGAAGTATAGTGCAAACTTAACTGGAAAAGGTTAAACTTTCACAATTCTGAATACACTTAGAATGTTTCGAGTATCATTATGGACATCAATTTTGAACATAGGGGAATGTTCTGTTTGGGAATTCTGAATTTTAAAATTCTAGATAAATGAAAAATCTGTTTTTCAGTATGTATATTCCTTTAAGTTAACAAGGATATGTTCTCCCTTCTGCGCCAATATTGAAACACTAAGTAAGACATTCCGCCATTTATGATCACAGCCCTAAAAGTTAGATAGATGATGGTTGATTCCTAACTTGATTCAGTTCGGTATTTATTTGCACTACAGAGGATCTGAGGTAGTTTATTTACATTTAGGTATGCAATTTACCACAAAAGATTTTCCTTGTGTATTTGTATATCCTGTTCTTTAAATGATCTTCTTTCACTACCATGAATAGGAAAAAGAAAATTGAAGCCATGTATGTGGCCTGTCATAGTAAGATCTGTCTCATTTGTAACAGGTTTATATTTACATATTTTTCAGTTACCCTGTTAGAGGTACAAATGAAAATTAGACTTAAACTTTGCCACAGAGGATAAATTACTGGAATCAAAGGGAAAAATTTACCCCTCCCTTTTTAATTTTTAAAGGCTGGTATATAATGAACAACAGTTACAGAGTGAGCGATAGTAATGTAAATGTTTACTGATTTATTAAAATGAGCAAGATGAGAAGATAGGGGTAAGGGATGTGTGAAGGAGGTAAGAAAGCAGATTTCTTTAGATGCCTAAAATTAAGAATGACTGCATATATTTATTAGCTGTATGTGTTTATTAAGATGTGAAGGTAGCCACCAGATGAGAAAAAAATGGAGCTAATGGAATAAAATAGTCTTCTCTACAGATGAAAATTGATGGGGGTGGGAATGGTCAGGGGACAGTTATTTTTTCATGTAGGCCTTTCTGTATTACTTTTTAAAGCTATATGCATATGCTTTTAAAATAAATACTTTAGAAATAATAATCTAAAGTTGGGTTGCTACCAGACCTCTAAGAATGAGGCTTGGGTGACCTCGTATGGGGGAAGACACTAAACTTGTTAGTGTCTTTGTATTTCCCATGGTATTTCTAAGTGTGTGGCTGCTTCTCCAGGAACGCTGTGACCTATTTATTAATGAAACACGTGGAGGGTCAAAGCATGACCCTTTGGAGGTGAATTGCTTCCTTGACTCTGTACCTCCACCAGCAATATCTAGATGGTGACTGTTAGAGCTTTAGTCAGGATAGCTTTAGTTCTATGGTTAGGCTTTCTTTAGATATGTATACTTTTTTTTGAGACGGAGTCTCACTCTGTCACCTAGGGTGGAGTGCAGTGATGTGATCTCAGCTTACTGCAACCTCGGCCTCCCAAGGTTCAAGCAATTCTTCTGCCTCAGCCTCCTGAATAGCTGAAACTACAGGTGCATGCCACCCAGCTAATTTTTTTATTTTTAGTAGAGACGGGGCTTCATCATATTAGTCAGGCTGGTCTCAAACTCCTAACCTCAGGTAATCCATTCACCTCGGCCTCCCATAGTGCTGGGATTACAGGCATGAGCCACTGCACCTGGCCTAGATATGTATACTTTAAAATACAGCTGCAATGTATACAGCAATATACTCTCACTGTGCCTTTTCTAAAAATAAGCTTAATAAGAAAAATATCACTTTAATTATATATTCTATGTAACATGATACCTTAAAGCAAAGGTTGAAAAATATCAAGTACAAATTCAGTACCTTTTACTGTTTTAAGCTCTGCTTATTTAATTATTTGCTTTACTTGCCTTTATGCTTTATTTATTTATTTATTTATTTATTTATTTATTAATGCAGGGCTTTGGCTGTTGTCCAGGCTGGAGGGCAGTGGCATGATCAAAGCTCACTGCAGCCTCAACATCCCAGCCTCAAGTAATCCTCCTGCCTTAGTCCCCTGAGTAGCTGGGGCCACAGGCACATGCCATCACACCTGACTAATTTTTTTTTTTTAATTTTTATTTTTGTAGAGACAGAGTCTCACCATGTTGCCCAGGCTGGTCTCAAACTCCTAGGCTCAAGCAGTCCTCCAGCCTTGGCCTCCCAAAGTGCTGGGATTACAGGAATGAGCCACCATGCCTGGCCTTGCTTGCCTTTATACTTAAAGGAAGGCCTTTATCTTCTTCTTACCTTGAAAAGGCTTATTTAACCTTTTCATAGTTCCTGGTCTCTTCTGTTTCCACTTTATAATCCAACAAGGAAGGATAGTTTGCTTCCCATTGGCTTTCTCTTCTGCCTATGAATCCTGAGGCTGTTATTTTCCCTTTCCTTGTGGTGGTCTTCCTGAGCCTACTTGCCTACTTCAGCTGCAAGCCTTTGCTCACTTCACTGCTACATGGCTCTGAAATTTATCCTCTTAAAGAAGACATTGCCTTGTCTCATGTTATATCTGTATTAAAATAAAAAAGAATACATTGCCCTCTGATTCTATGACAGTCTGATCTCACTGACTTAGTACCCTCTGTTTTACAAGTGCTTTTTCTTTTGGACATCGTATTTTTTGTTAAAATTTCTTAGATTTTTCTGCTTTTAAAAATATTAATATACTTCTTTTTTTATTTTTATTTTTTTTGAGTTGGAGTTTCACTTTGTGGCCCAGGCTGGAGTACAGTGGCGCAATCTCTGCTCCTTGCAACCTCTGCCTCCCGGGTTCAAGCAATTCTCTTGCCTCAGCCTCCCAAGTAGCTGGGATTATAGTTGCATGCTACCACGCCCAGCTAATTTTTGTATAAAATAGAGATGGGGTTTCTCTGTCTTGGCCAGGCTGGTCTCGAACTCCTGACCTCAGGCAGTCTGCTCACCTTGGCCTCCCAAAGCGCTGGGATTATAGGCATGAGCCACTGCACCCTGCCAACATTAATATACTTCTAAAAAATTCTAGCATAAAAAATGAAAGTTGGGGCCGGGGCAATATAGCAAGACCCCATGTCCACACAAAATTTAAAAATTAGCCAGGGGTCCGGGCATGGTGGCTCATGTCTATAATCCTGGCACTTTGGGGCCAAGGTGGGCAGATCACCTGAAGTCAGGAGTTCGAGACCAGCCTGGCCAACATGGTGAAACCCCATCTCTACTAAAAATACAAAAATTAGCCAGTTGTAGTGGTGCATGCTTGTAATCCCAGCTACTCAGGAGGCTGAGGCAGGAGAATCACTGGAAACCGGAAGGTAGAGGCTGCAGTGTCCCGAGATCACCCCACTGCACTCCAGCCTGGGTGACAGAGCGAGACTCTGTCTCAAAAAAAAAAACATTGCCCAGGCATGGTGGCATGCATGTGTGGTCCTAGCTACTCGGGATGCTGAGGTGGGAGGATCACTTGAGCCTGGGAGGCTGAGGCTACAGTGAGTTGTGATTATGCCACTACACTCCAGTCCAGGTAACAGAATGAGACCCTGTCTTTAAAAAAAAAGAAGAAGAAGAAAAAGAAAAGAAAGTTGGGCTGGGCGAGATGGCTTCACACCTGTAATCCCAGCAATTTGGCAGGCCAAGGTGGGAGGAGTTCAAGACCAGCCTGGCCAACATGGTGAGACGACATCTCTACAAAAAATTACTTATTTATTTTTTATTTTGGAGACAGAGTTTCACTCTTGTTGGCCAGGCTGGAGTGCAATGGCACGATCTCAGCTCACCCCAACCTCTGCCTCCTATGTTTAAGCAATTTTCCTGCCTCAGCTTCCTGAGTAGCTGGGATTACAGGCATGCACCACCATGCTGGCTAATTTTTTTTGTATTTTTAGTAGAGATGGGGTTTCTCCATGTTGGTCAGGCTGCTATCAAACTCCTGACCTCAGGTGATCTGCCTGCCTCGGCCTCCCAAAGTGCTGGGATTACAGGCATGAGCCACTGCACCCAGCCAAAATTTTTTTTTTTTTAAATTAGACTAGGCATGGTGGCTCATGCCTATAATCCCAGCACTTTGGGAGTCCAAGGTGGGTGGATCACTTGAGCCCAGGAGTTTGAGACCAGCCTAGACAACATGGCAAAACCCTGTCTCTGCCAAAAGAAACCACAAAAATTAGCTGAGTGTGGTGGAGCATGTCTGTGGTCTCAGCTGTTTGGGAGGCTGAGGTGGAAGGATCACTTGAGCCTGGGAGGTCGAGGCTGCACTGAGCCATGTGCACTCCAGCCTGGGCAACAGAACAAGAACCTATCTCAAAAAGGGGGGGAGAAAGGAAATTTGCTTATAATGCATTTCCTCAAAGGGGCAATTATAAAAATTCATGAATAATCAAAAAAACAAAAAACAATTCATAAATAATCTGTGTGAGATGGAGGGTTACTTTTATTTATTAATGAAAATGGCCTATAATGCCAGCACTTTGGGAGGCCAAGGCAGGCAGATTACCCTAGGTCTGGAGTTCAAGACCAGCCTGGCCAGCATGGCAAAACTCTGTCTCTACTAAAAATACAAAAAAAAAATTAGCCCGGTGTGGTGGCAGGCCCCTGTAATTCCAGCTGCTCAGGAGGCTGATGCAGGAAATTTGCTTGAACCTGGGAGGCGGAGGTTGCAGTGAGCTGAGGTCATGCCATTGCACTCCAGCCTGGGCAGCAAGAGGGAAACTCTGTCTCAAAAAAAAGAAAAAGAAGGAAAATGGATCATACATTATTTTTCTTCTTTTTAAAACAGATTTACTGAAATATAATTGACTCCCTTTACAGCTATACAGTTCATCCCTTTAAAGTGTACAGTTCAGTGACTTCTAGTGTATTCACAGAGTTGTGCATCATCCATCACCAGTCAATTTTAGAACTTTCATTATCCCAAGAAGAAACCTGGAGCCCCTTAGCCATCACCCTGCAACCCTCACCATTCTATTTCTAGGCAACCGCTAATCTACTTTCTGTTTCTATACATTTCCCTATTCTGGACATTTCATAAAAATAGAATCTTAAAATATTTGGTCCTCTTTCATTTAGAATAATGTTTTTAAGAATCATTCATATTACAGCTTTTATCAGTACTTCATTTCTTTTTATTACTAAATAATATTCCACTGTATGAATAGATCACATTTTAATCATTTCTGCTTGTTTTTTATATTGAACTGTATATCTCGAACATTTTTCCGTGGCATGTATACATAAATGGGCTTTATTCTTTTATTTTTGAGGTAGGGTCTTGCTCTATCATCCAGGCTGGAATGCCATGGCCTGAACCAACAGCTCACAGCAGCCTCAACCTCCAAGTCACAAGCGATTCTCCTACCTCAGCCTCCCAAGTAGCTAGGACTGCAGGCGTACACCACCAAGCCCAGCTAATTTTTTTGTATTTTTAGTAGAGACAGGGTTTTACCATGTTGGCCAGCGGGTCTCAAACTCCTGACCTCAAGTGATCTGCCTGTCTCGGCCTCCGAAAGTGCTGGGCTTACAGGCATGAGCCACTGCACCCGGCTAATATTGGGTATTTTCATCTGTTTATCTTTGCCTCTCTTCTAGGTGCCACTCTTCCCAGTCTTTGGCCCAATAGACCTGTTTCAAATCTTGGCTTCACCATTTGCTCTCTACTTAATTAACTGCTTTGTGTCTCAGGTGCCTCATCTATAAAATAGGGACACTGATAATTATTTTCTTATTTATTTATTTATTTATTTATTTTACTTATATGGTTTTCTGTTTGATAGTTGTCAAATAGAAGCTCTCGAAATTTTTATGTGATCAGATTTACATTATCGGGTTAATTTCATGGTTTCTTTTGGTTCACATTTAAATTTTATTCTATCTAAGCTAGGCACAGTGGCTCACACCTGTAATCCCAGCACTTTGGGAGGCTAAGACAGGAGGATTGATTGAGCCCAGGAGTTCAAGACAGCCTGGGCAACATGGCAAAGCCCCGTCTCTACAAAAACAAATTTTTTTTTTTAAATTACTTGGACATAGTGGTATGTGCCTGTGCTCCTGCTTGTCAGGAGACTGAGGTGGGAGGATCACTAGAACCCAGGAGGTCGAGGCTGCAGTTAGCTGAGATTGTGCCACTGCACTCCAGCCTGGGCAACAGAGCGAGACTCTGTCTCAAAATAAAATAAAATAAATACTTTTTTTCCATCAGGAACTTACATTAATATAAAAATAATGGCAAAGTTCAGCTTAGTTTTTTTTCCCCAGATGTGTTTATAACAGATACCCTTTGGAATCTGTAGTTTGGGGTTGGGACAGTCTTAGTTTCTTTATGAATAGGGTTTTCTTCTACTCTAGTTCTTATTGTACATTTCAGTGTGTTAATTCTGCTGTCATTACAGAAGTGTCCTGGGTCTTTTTAAAACTCTGAGCAAGGATATAATTCAGAGAGAATTTCTTCACAAATTCTGTTCCTAATGTGAATTTTTTTCCCTGGCAGGTATCCCTTGTATAACTGATTGTGTAATGGCTGAAATTGAGAAATTGGGGCAGAAGTATCGAGTGGCTCTAAGGTAGGAAGGAGCTAGATTAGATCTGTTCTAGGCTGGTATACTGAAGATTCATCTATTTGCTGTTTAAAGATTTTTTAGCCAGTTAGTTTAAGTGAAAATCATATAAAACTATCTCTCACACAAAAACCAGTTCCAGTTAGAATAAGTATCTAAATCTTTAATAGAAAATACAGAGAATATCTTGGCCGGGCGCAGTGGCTCACACCTATAATTCCAGCACTTCGGGAGGCCACGGCAGGCAAATCACTCAGGTTGGGAGTTCGAGACCAGCCTGACCAACATGGAGAAACTCCATCTCTACTAAAAATACAGAATTAGCCAGTTGTGATGGCACATGCTTGTGATCCCAGGAGAATCGTTCAAATCTGGTTGGCAGGTTCGAACCTGAGACAGGAGAATCGTTCGAACCTGGGTAGCAGAGGTTGCCGTGAGCCGAGATCGCACCATTGCACTCCAGCCTGGGCGACAAGAATGAAACTCTGTTTAAAAAAAAAAAAAGAAAATAAAATACAGAGAATATCTTAATGATTTGGGAATGAGCAGGGATTTCTTTAAATGTCCCAACCATAGTAGAAGATTGATCAGTTTGACTATGCTGAAATTGAATATTTGTGTATAGCAAAAGATATTAACAAAGTTAAGAGACATATAATCAACAAAGGGCTTATTTTCAAAATGTATAAAGAACTTCACATCCATAAGAAAAA